AGCATATAAAACATTATTATTTAGTAAAAAAGGATATATCCATAATGTACCCGATCACCATCAATGATCACTCTTACATACAAATGCATTGTTTAATGTACCAGTACTATGCATATATTTGTATATTGCCTGTTAAATATTTCAGTAGGAAAGCTATTTAATATCCTTTTATATTGTGTGCAAAGGCTGCACCCTGCTGGTTTTTAATAAAATAAGTAGAAATATGAGAGATGCTTTGTTTTTTAAGTAGCGTGTAAAAGAAATAGGATATATAGCATAATTAAAGAAAAATTCAGTTGGGATCCTAGCCACTCAGATTACAGAATAAATTATAAATAACTAAAATTTATTGAAGAATTAGATACATACATAAAGGCCTTTGGTTGGAAATGTCAGCATAACAATCCCCATTCAGAATATTTATATGACCCACCTCCCATCATGTTGAAATAATAACTGAGAATTTCCACTATTCCAAACTTGGCTTTCCTCTGTTATTGTTGATACAAGCATGGCCACATCTTCTCAGCAGACATTAAAACAATTTTTTTCAGCTTCCTTCAACTCAGTAATGAGCCAGATGAGGGAGAATAGGTGAAATTAAATCCAGACTAGGAGGAGATGATGTTGTAAAGAGCAACTGGACTTGGGGGGGGGGGGAAAGGGGAGGAGGCAAGGTCTGTCTGGGCTGGAGTGGCACTCTTCTATAAAGAACAGGTTTGCAGTTTGGGGGTGCTTTTACACACCCAGTTTTCCCTGGATTTGATGAAGGTTGTGTTTGCAAAGCCAACGGGGATCTTTTCCTGAACTGGTTAGACTTCCCTACAGGCATCCCCACTTGGTTACGTTTTGTTTTGACAAGGGCCCTGCATGGTATGTGAAGACAGGTTTTAAAAGGGATCAGAATTGGCTGTTGTGCAAATTACAATGGGCAGGCTGTTGACCAATCCAAAGTACAGGGATATGATGCTTAACAGAGGATCATTACTGAAGGGGCTGCCTCCTCTGCTATGTTACCTGCCTGGTTACCAAGATCTGTAGGACAGGAAACTTTGAATACCCTCCCTGTCAAACTCTCAGCTACCTAATACCAGTAGTCCTCATTTAGCAACCACAATTGGGACCATAAACTTAGTCACTAAGCACAGCAATCACTAAGTGAAACTGTGACTGTGCTTATGTTCTGACTTCAGACTTCCTTCACTTTAAAGACCTTTAAAAAGGACTGGTTATGAAGTTTACTTTTTCATCACCCTCATTACTGCAGTTGCTAAATGAGGCAGTCACTAACAAAGGCTATCTGTATGCAGAAGAAGACCATCGCTTCAGTCACTCCCAGGCTAGGGAAGATAAGCACATTTGGTTCCTCTTCTGGGATTGTGAGAAATGGCAGAATCCCATCTTTTTCTATGCTTTTAATTGTTAGCGGAACTGATTTGATTTTTGATTTATTTTTGCCTTAATTTTAATTGCATTTTTATGCTTAACATTTTCTAATTTGATAAAATGATTGTAAACTCTCCTTATATAAATGATACTGTAACACAAGTTGTAGATTTCATAAAGAAAATGCAAAAAAAAAAAAAAATCTGCACTGATATAGCAGGGAAGATACCCAGTGTAGTAATCCTACTTTTTTTTTTTTTTTTTTTTTTTTTTTACAGAGCCTGGAATAATAGTTGACTGAAAACTGACAAATGCCTGAGCCAGAAGTAAATGCAAAACAGGCAAATGAAATATTTGGCTGTATCAACAGAAATGTGACTTCTGTTCCTGCTTTGGTCAGATCTTGTTTTGAGTACTCTGTCCATTTCTAGCCATACACTTTAAAAATAATTTGGAGAAACTGAAAACAGATTCAGCAACGGAGATTATCAGGGGACTAGGACTTAAGAAAAATTGAAGGAGTCTTAAAAATATACTAAAGTGGAAAGGAATATGATTTTCATATTCAAATTTGAAAGTGTATAAGATCAAGCTTTCTTCTCTCTCATTCCAGAGTGCAGAACTTAGAATAAACAGTTTTAAGTTACATGAAAAGAGATCCCAATAGAATGCTAGCAAAAGCTAAGAACAATTCAACAATGGAACCGGGGACCGACAAGGCAATGGACTCCCCTTGCTTGGATGTATAAGGAGTCTTCAAGATGCTACCCTAATAGAGCCTGCCCATTACAACCAAAAGTAGGAAAATCATAAAATGGATTGGTCACATGACCAACCTGATTCTATCATGTTTTTACAATGATTGTTATGCAAACCACTTAGTTGCAAGTGAAAATGTTGCAGTCATTAAATTACTGCCACAGTTATTAAGTGAGCCAGTTGGTGTATAGTTTTGCCCAAAATTGGAAGTGCCGTTTTTCGGCAAAGCTGTAGTAAAATGCAGTCACATACTTATGGGACACCGCAAATGGATGCAAATGCAGCTGTTGCCAAACATCCAAATTGCAGTCACATGACCACAGGGAAGGGTGACCATCCGAACTTTGGATCCAGGTCCTGCATCCCCTTTTTCAGGTAGGTCATAACTTTGAACAATTGCTAAGCAACCGCTCCTAAGTCAACGATTACCTGTATTCAAGTGGAGGCTAGGTAGCCATCTTGCTGGGAACTTGGAAATCAAGTGTTCAAGGAATCCCTACTACCTCTACAATTCTGTGAGTTATTTTGTTTTTTTTTAATTACATAAATTGCAGCTTTCAAGATTTGAGTGAGCCCTATGAAAGCTCAGGATGCCCATCTGGGGTGTTATGAAGCAGACAACCATGAGAATGTTGATTTATCTCCTCACTGTGCACAGTCTGTGTGTCACCTCCAACAGGTTGACATTTCCCTTGCAAATATCAAGCTAGGTAATCCATTCATAAAAACATACAGTTCCAAAGGCCATCCAGTCCAAACCTGTGGTGAATTAATGTTAACCTAACAAGCCACAACAAAAGAACCAAGTTTGACAGAAGTTCCTGGTGACCATGTATAGTCCTGTGAAGAAACACCATTATAGGCAAGAGATAAAACATGCCAACCTCAAGGGGAGCTTATAAACACTCCCTGTGTTAAGCTAGGGAAACAAATTATCTTATTTGTTCACTTATTGTCATGCAAATGAACCTGTCAAAGTAAGAGGGCACACTACTCCCACTCTTTTTATTAAGACATGCTTATAACCATGCACTTAAAACATAGGCTTTTTAAATCTCATCTTTGTTATTTTTATAAATAACTCAAGGCAGCAAACATATTCAGCACACCTTACTCCTCCTATTTCCTCACAACAAACCTGTGAGGTGAGTTGGGCTGAGATAGTGTCTGGCCAAGGGTCACGCAGCCACTTTCATACCTAAGGCTAGACTAGAACTCGTATCCTCCTGCCTTCTAGCCTGGTGCCTTAACCACTAGGCCAACCCGGCTGTCCTGGTTATCTAAGAATTGACTGCCTCCTCTGCCTGGCTGACAAGATCTGCAGGACAGGCCCGTGAATATCCTCCCTGGCAAAATCTCAGCTAATAGAGATAGTCCTTGTTCAGTGATCGTAATTGGGACCGGCAACTTGGTCATTAAGCAAAGTATTGAATTGTGTTTTTTTTTTTTTATGATAGGCCTTTACTAAGTTAATCATTCAAAACTGAAACATGCAACAAAACACTGTAGATCATACTGGCCAACATTCTTTCCTCTTATTAGACAGCACTGCAGGCAAAGAAATTAAATTATCCTCTTTCACTCCTTTTAATAATTGTCATTTTAACTGACTGTAGAAATATGGTGGCTGCTGATCTCCAAATATGCTCAATGCCTGTGAAGCAGTTCTGTCCTCCATTAAAAGTGATTGCCCTGAATTGTTAGAGGAAATGCTACAGAAATGTGCATATTAATTAAGACCCTCCCTTGTACCTTTAGCTGAGGTAACAAAAGATAGGGACAGGGCTGGTGGTTATTTCATCTCTATTATGAATGTCTTCCTTGTATATCCAAACAAGTATATACATGGAATTCCAGCACATGTAAGCTGATGTCATACAGCTCATCTCCTTAGAAAAACTACTTGAAGACTGAGGACTACGCAGAGAAGCTCATTTCAATTAAAGAAAAGCAATACGCTGGGCTGGCCAGGGGAAGTATCACTCTTCTCCCTATGGGGTGAGAAACAACAGTAAGGACTAAAGATATTGGACTCAACCTTTATTGCTAAATCCAGGGCATTCTTGATATTTTCCTGGAAACAAGCAGACAAAGTGCAGTTTGGGATTTCAGTGTTTCCCAAACTTGACAATTTTAAAGCATGTGGACTTCAACTCCCAGAATTCCACAGCCAGCGTTGCTGGCTGTGGAATTCTGGGAGTTGAAGTCCTCATGCCTTAAAATTGTCAAGTTTGGGAAACACTGTGATAGGTCAAGCTACAATGTAATAAATGCATAGCTTTCTGGTTTATGAGCTTTCCCTTGCAACAGAATGGGAGTCTGATCTTAAAAAAAAAAAAAACTTTTCATAATTCAGAAAGAGGAAAAGTCACAGAATGATTATTTCTCCCCATCTCACAAAGCTGCTGGTGGCCTTATGCCAGCTGAATCATATCCTTTTGGGCAAGACAAGGTGCTGAAAAGCTAAAGAAGGTGGTGGAAAATGAGAGTGGAATCACTGTACAGCTTTTGGGGCTTCTGTAAACAGGGAACATTGCCCAATACCAATGATATCACTATCCCTTAAGAATATGAAGTGACATCACTGGCCATCACCATTTGACCGGGGAAAGTAGTGGTAACTCTGGTTGCACATAGGGATAGCTCCAGAATAGACTAAGACAAGGGCAGTGGGGGAAAAACCCAGACAGACAGAAGAGAGGTTCATTTAAAATATCTATTGAAATTACAAATAAAACTCTTTGATATGATTCCAAAGTACAAAACAACATTCAAAGGCATTCAACAGCTCTTTTATACATCACAGTGTTAGTGGCACAAAATGTAGTTACATTTCAAATACAGGAACAAAATGATTTTTTTTTTTTTTTACTGTAGTCGACATTATTTATCGATATGCAGGACTCTTCCATGCTTCTCTGTACAAGGTTTTAAAAAAAATCACGGTTCGATGAGCAGGGATGATTCAATTGTATGGCACACACCTGGGCCCAATATTTTTGGACTCCAATAAGACAGGATTACACGTCTAACAAAGCAGGAACCAGCAGGGGACTTTAGACACAAAATAGGAGTTCTGTCATTTGCAGAAGTGCATTAGCAAGCATGATTGTCAAAAACCCCTTAATGCCACTATTTCCGTTACAGTCTGTTTTCCTAGGACAAAACCCTTTGTAAAACTAGCTTGCATGGTATTTAACATATGCACAAATTTACAATGGCTCTCAATTTTGCTCATGCTTCACCTTTGGAGGACCCTGGCATTCCTGCACAATGATTCAAAGAGAAGCTACTGCAAATGCTTTTTTCTTTCTTTACATCGACAGGGACAGCAGGGGTGAAAAGTTAGTTGCAACACTGAAAAACAAATTCTGCTTTATGGGCTTGTGCTGTGATGTCCTGACACACATTTCATCATGTTGGCCTCACTGCAGGTAGGAATGGATTGCCTAAAAAGAACTCTTTTCAAATTATGCTGAATGTTAAGAGGGTGGGTGAGGTGCAAAGATTCCAGTTAGGATCACAATGAGAATACTTCATCTCTTCAATTCCTACTATTATTTTGAAAGGATTGCTATATCTTGGATGCTAATTATGGCTGGGTTCTTTTTTTAAACCATTGTTGTCAGAGACAAATATCACTCCCTCTTGCTCTGCTAACCATCTAAAAATTGATAAATGGGAAAATTAGGAGAAGTGATTTCATTTTCTTTACTAGGGGGAAAAAAGACTAAAGCAATGCAACCAATAGATTAATGTTCTGATATGGGAGAACAGCTGTGATCAGATTTGCATTAGATAATAAGTACAATCCCTCAGCCCAGTAGTTATGTCCTTATTATGCCACAAAATATTTTCTCTTTCAATTGGCTTACATATGGTTTCATTTGGTTATAGAACATTATGAGTGAATACTTTCTCCTAATTTAATATCTACATTTTAGATTTCACTCAGAACAAAATAACCAATGGTGAGTTATCAACTGCAGCCAGATGTCCATTTTATGGTCCTTCAGAATATGAAGAGAATATTAGTCAAAATATAAGATGGAAAGGGGAATATTTAAAAACAATGTCTGCTGTCACAAAACCGTACGTAATAAAATAGAAGTGTTTTTTTAAATGAATTAAATACACTTTTTGAAGAGCTTTTAGAGTATGTATTATCACTGCAGGTTTTTTAAATAATTGAAGCAAAATGGAAGGGAGAAAACAGAACCTTTTTGAATTTAGATGGGACTATAACATCTCTATTATCCTTCTACATCCAGGCACAGCTTAGTAAATTGAGCTGAAGGGACATAAGGTGTCCCTCTCTCTGGCTGATCATCAGTTTCTGCTGGACATTATAAAAGATGGGGGAACATCTACACTTTCCATATACCCCCTCCAACTCCGATGTGGGAAATTCTGGTGATTGTTTTGTCCTCAGGTTAGCACCTACCAACAAAAGAAAAATCATGAGCCTCAGACCTTCCCCAAATTTAGAATATTTGTCTGCGTGCTTGGCTTCTACAAAATATTTTTCCTAGGTTTGTAAAAGGATACCAGATTAGAGGCAGCTCTATTTACATGTAGCAAATAGGTAAACAATAGCTAGAAACAAATCTAGGTAGGAAACAAAAGGCACAGTTGGACAAGGCTGGCAATCAGGGCATGGTGCATATCCCTACCTTCCTCTATTTGGCATCTCCCAGAGTAGCATATCCTATTGGCCAGCCTGTCGCCAATCATCCCAGCCCCTTCCCTTTCTCCTCTCCCCTGCTGTTCCTCAACTGCCACGGTGCCAACTCCCAGCATGACATATTCCTGTTCTAACAGATTTTGACAGTTAAATCTGAAGTCCTCTAAACTGAGATCTGTTAAATTAAGGGTTTAGTACAGGGATAGACAACCTTGGCTCTTTTATGACTCATGGACTTCAACTCCCAGAATTCCTGAACCAGCCATGCTGAGGGGAAAGAGAGAGGTTTCCAAGCTGAGCCATGCTGGCTCAGGAATTCTGGGAGTTGAAGTCCACAAGTCATAAAAGAGCCAAGGTTGCCTACCCCTGGTTTAGTATCATCTTGATGTTTAAAAGAGTCTTGATTATATAACAGTTCTGGGCTATATATCTGAACCACAAAATGTTGATATCCTCCCTCCCAACCCTAAACAAATTTAAAGAAAAAACCCCAAAATGCAGACATATCCACATATTTAGTTTACATAGATTTTCAAATATTAGCAGGCAGAAATGGCACCTTTTAGTTTTGAAAATCTAAGGCCTGGGGCATCTATCTGGATGCCATTACTTTGTGTGAGAAAGATGGGCAGTGGAGATGAGACAAGAATACTTAGACATTTTTCAATTGCACATATTAAGAAATTGATTTTAATAAACAGATATTGAAGTCACATCTAAAACGAACATATTATAATGGGTAATGGGTTTGCAAAAAACACCTTTGCCAAGGGTAAAAACCTCTCTCAGTTCAATGTGAATAGATATATGAAGATTTTCATCTGGGTAGTGTAACTCAGTTCCAGATCTGCTAATGTTGTCCCCCAGAAAAGAAGGAATGACTCAGATCATTGATGCCCACAGTTCCAATGTTCAGCTTGTTTTCTGCCAGTCCTTAAACGGTTACCCATAATCTGACTGGTGAATAGGGAATTCTGGTGTCTCACCTCTCACTCAAAGTGGAATAAGGCAAGACACTAACAAGATTAAGTGCAAAGTGGGGGGGGTAGGAAATGGACAGCGATGCTGAGTAGGTCCCTTCTTCGTTCTCTCTAAGTAGGCAGAGGGTCATCATCTCCTTTACTACACTTGCATTTGCAGCAGAGGACAAACGGAGTAGCGAGGAGAAGAAAAGGAGATGCCACTAATAACAGCAGGCCAAATCCTGCAAAAATCCCCACAACCTGCATTAGGAAAAAGAAAAAAGAAACACACGTGAAAAATGTTCTTCCATTCTGGTTAACAGGATGAGAATTGATAGGGCCCTATTAACTGTTGGGCCTGCAGTGTTTTCATCTTCTGGTTGAAGGCCACCTAAGAATAAGAGCTAAATGGAAAAGCTGGCTTCCAATTGGGGGCTGCTCTCATATCTCCCTCTGTCACTGATAGAGAAAGACTAATCATATGTAGGGAAGGAAGCTTTTGGGGGAGGTGAAACAATTCTTTCTGAGATTCAGACACACCCTCAGTAGAAGACCAAGTGCAAGAGGGAAGACTGATAAATGATTTGAGATTCCTTTACACAAGAGAAACATTGAAGAATTTAACCTACCGAATCTCTCCCCTTCCTTTTCATTATTCGTTTTTCAAACAGAAGTTGTTTCCACTAGTTATGCATATTTCCAGGGCTCTCCCAAATCCCCAGAGTTCTTGTGGATGAGTGAGAAGGCATGTGTGAATCCACACTGACAACTCAACTGGCTGTTTAGTCCTAAGAGCTTTGGAGTTCTGCTGTTCCAGATGACCCACAATGGGCACATGGCACATGCTTTTCCATTAATGCAAAAGGTGGAGACTACATTAAATAGCATTTACAATTTTGCAGCCAATAAATGCTCCTTCTACTGAAGGAGAAGTATGCAGCGATTCCAGCACTAAGACTAGGGATGGGTTAGGTTCCTCAAGTCTCAGGATGGAGACATGTTTGGGGTCACCATCTGATCTACCAAGACACAAAGTGCAAGCAAGGGCTGAGATCCCAGAAGGGGTAGAGAATGGAACACTGTTTGGAACCAGCCTGATTTAATCTAACCTAACTAACTCTGCATCCCACAGCATTAGGGGCTTGGCATTAAAATGAAGCCCAGTTATCCCAACTTTCAATATACTTTTATAGTATAAAGTGTTTAAAGTGTTTCTTGGCCTTGATTGCAAGCATGAAACCAGATGCAATAGCTCCAACTGAAACTGACACATAAAAACATTCCTTTAACTCAGGCTAGTGAAAGAGATCCCTTGCAAATACAATGCAGATGCTTAAGTCTATTTATTTTAACATGGATACGCCACTTTTCTTCTAGTAACTTAAAGCTGTGTAGGTGGGATGATCTTTCATTTTGATCAGGATGGAATAAAGACTCCTGCCCTGGACAGTGGGTTGGACTAGAAGACCTCCAAGGTCCCTTCCAACCATATGATTCTATGATCCTAGAACAGCTGTTCTAGGAGCTAGCTATGACTAGCCTACTATGACTACGTAAGACCTTAAAGCTGGATCTCATCCATCCATCACTGCACCCAGTCTTGCTGATTAGTGTCAATCCACAAATTTGTTGAATTTCAATTTCTAAATTCCTAACTTAAAGTGTTCCACTGGCCAGGCTAGACGAGAAGTCTGGGAGTTGCCTTCTAGCATATTGTACAGTATCGCCTTGCAGAAAATTGTCTTTACTACTCAGCCTGGACTTTTTACTGAGAAACCTAGACACATTAAATTGTGGGCAACAGCACAAATTTAAAATCTGCCAGAAGGACTAAAGCATTGCAGGGCAAATCTGCCATGAGGAAGAGTAAAGCCAGTAGAAATAGAAAGGAGTGGCAGGGATCTTGTGTGAAGGTCATCCCTCAGCTCTGGGGTATTTTAGCTTATGTTGATTCTATGAGGTTGCACTAAAGCAGGGGTTCTCAACCTTGGCAACTTTAAGACGTGTGGACTTCAATTCCCAGAATTCCTCAGCCAGCAAAGCTGGCTGAGGAATTCTGGGAGTTGAAGTCCACACATCTTAAAGTTGCCAAGGTTGAGAACCCCTGCGCTAAAGCATCACAGGATATTTTGAATTTGGCAAGATATTATTGGATATGAATCTCTTACTTACTACAGGACTCAAACCTTCTGCTGAGCTCACCAAGAGCTTCTTAAGCAAAAGAATGAAATGTAAAATTCTCCTGATTTTATAAGGGACAACCTAATGGTTAGCACAGCAGACAGAGATAATATTCAAACAGATCCCTGATAGCGGTTAGAACAATATAGTCATATTATTCATTTTAAAGTTTATTTTCTGATTATTATTTTTTTCTTTCTTAAGGAAAAATTGAATCTGTGTTAACTACTTAATAATATTATTTTTCATCAGGGAGCGAAAATCATTTTCTTTGTCACCAGGTGGCAGTGTTGAACAACATTCATATTGGGAGATTTGAAAGTGTGTTATGTAACTACATACTTAGAAGTCCTATGTGGTTGCAAAAATCCACATTATTTTAATTTTTTAAAAAATCCATTTTGCAGAGTGGTGATTTTATGACTGTGTTTCACTTAATGAAAAATGTTATGGCTTTCCCCTTCACAACTGGCTATATATTGCTTATGCTATGCTATGCTATGCTATGCTATGCTATACACTTTACATTATATTATAATCTAACAGCCCTTCCTTTCCCTTAGATGTTGTGATGGTCATAAGTGCAAGGACTGGTTTTTGCAGCACCATTATACATTTGAATGGTTACTAAATGAATGGTTATAAATTGAAGACTACTTGTAATGCTAATAAGTCAAGGGTCTTCAAACATGGCCCTTTTATGACATGTGGACTTCAACTCCCAGAATTCCTCAGCCAGGCATGCTGGCTCAGGAATTCTGGGAGTTGAAGTCCACAAGTCATAAAAGGGCCAAGTTTGAAGAGCCCTGCCTTAGATTGTTGCAATGCTTCCAGGAATATTTTAATTACTTTCCAAAAGGAACCAGAGCACAATCTTAACCACCTGTCCTCTCTTCCTAACCATGAGGGAAGATGTTGAGAAATGTTGAAATATCCCCTTGAAGCTCCCAGCTACTGTAACTCTGTTTGGAAGAGGGGCATCAAGACTCAGGTACGTGGAACGGAATCACCACGGCCATCTCTTAGAGACAGTTCCAGAATGGATTATGCTTGAAAGAAGCCAGCTTTGAATCCCATGGAGTTAGAAGTGCTCCTCTAGAAAGTCCTTATTAGGAGAAAGGACAAAGCTCTTCCAGGAGAAGCCCAGGGAAAATATTCCTCAACTCTTTCTGCCCTGGGTAATCTTCGCAAATATCGCTGGGTGAAGATAGTCTCTTCCCATCCTCTCTGCTTCAAGTTAGGATTGCCCTCTGTGATTCTTGGTGCCTTGGTGTCAGTGTTGTTTCCTAGTGACTGCCTGGACTAAACTCTGCAAGATTTTTTGCAAGTGGTTTGCCATTGCCTCTTTCCTAGGGCTGAGAAGGAGTGACTGGCCCAAGGTTACCCAGTTGGCTGTGTGCCTAAGGCAGGACTGGAACTCATATTCTCCTAGTTTCTAGCCTGGTGCCTTAACCACTACACAAATGGCTCTTAGGATTCTTTGTACCTTGCATCAAAATTTATCAACAACAAAACTGACTATACAAAAGAACAGTGACTTGCGCAAAAAGTTATTTTTTTAAAAAAAATCCTATTTTCTTTGACACATTTCTTTTATGAGCAATTATTCCATAAATATGGAATTATTTCATCATTTCTCATAGTTTTCTGAACCATAATTCTTTGAATTCGCTTAAACGCTGCATAGTAAAGATAGAGAAGCACCTACCTGTGTTCTGTGCCAAATAACTGATGCCCTAGAATGACCTAACTTGTTTCGGCAAGGTCCTTTGTCATAATGTATAAGGAGAAAGTCATCCTAGAAAAGTGTAGAAAAAAAGACTTTTGGAAGGCTCTGGGTGCTAAATCTTGGCAAACATTCATAATGCTTCTTCTAAGCCAGGCTGGCAGTGTTCATGTCTGCTCTCATTGGCCACGAGCCCACAACAAGTAAAGTGAAGTGAAAAAATCACTCCAGATTATGCAGATGCCCATGATGGCTATAGCAATCATCAGCAAAATCATTGTTCTTATTATATCTTGGATTGTCTTTTGCAAATCTGGGTGGAATATCAATACAACTAGCATGTAATACTAGGTCAGTGATGGCGAATCTTTTAGAGACCGAGTGCTCAAAAACTGCCCCCGCCCCTGCTCTACCCCCTGCCCTGCCCCCGCCCCGCCCCACCCCACCTGCCCGCAGGGCCACTCACCGCCTCCAGGGCCCGCTGCAGATTGCCCAGGCAGCCCAGCAGCGCCATGGCAGCCACGCCCTCTCCCCACGCCCTGCAGCATCAACTGTGCATGATGGGGTATGAGGGCAGAGTCTTGTGTACACTGCCCGGCTGCCATGTCCTTGGCTGCGCTGCTCCACGTGGGCCACGCTTGGGGGTGACTCTCCTCCCGGGGGCTGCTGGTGAAGGGGTCGCAGGGGGAGGCAAGGCTGGGGCAACGGCACGTGTGCCCACAGAGAGGGCTCTGAGTGCCACCTCTGGCACCATTGCCATAGGTTCGCCACCACTGTACTAGGTTCTGTAAATTGGTCTGATACTTAACATATTTCAACCATTTACTCTCCAAATTGATGATTCTCTAATGACAATGTCATATACTATATACACCGTACTATATAGTATGTACAAATCCCAAATGTGAGCTTTTCCACTAATGCTGTCTTTCTGAAATGATACCACATACCATATACCAATGAATATGTATGCAACAAGTTGTTACATCTACAAAGGAATTTAATATTTAAATTGTTAACTTATCAGTGTTGGCCTATTCATTTTTATAATTTTAGGAATATCTTATAAGATGGCATTTAAAAGGTCCCTCTTTTTTAGGCATTTGGGACCCATGACAGCAGTAGCTTTAATGAACGATAATATGCTCATCTTAAAATGAAAACTTACATCAAGTGATTCCAGACAATACCAGCAGAAGGCATGTTTACAATTTTTACACATCATTTGGGCACAGCCTTCATCCCTTTCAATATAAACTTTGCATTTTGGGCAGCGCTTGATTGGAGCATCATCTTCTTCCATTTTATAAACAGAGCTGGGAAGAAACAGGTTGATAATATTATGGAACAAATATGCTTCCAGTATGTGTCACTTTCAAACTGAAATTATTTCCGTGTGGCCCAATGGTGAAGATGCCCGCCTCCCATGCAGAAGGTTGAGAATTCAATCCTAGATAGCATCAGATGTTTCTCTATGAGGGCGCAAAAAAACCCACACAAAATATTTGCTGCAAACTCCGTGTAAACATCAAGGAGAGTATCCGGCTAGTAAATGCTTAGCTCTATCTGGTCACCGTAACCTTACCCCACACAGGGTCATAAAAAGGAAGATATGTGATGCAATCATGTTCAAAAATAGAGTCCAAGATCATCCTTTGGTTTTGTTATTCAGTCTAATTGGATAATGCTAAAAAGCAACATTTACAGGCATTCATTGTTTTTGGTTGGAATGACAAAAGAAGTAACACGGGGGTTTTTTGAAGCGTGCTTATAATGTCACATTGCCTATAGAAGGAGGGAGGGTTTGCATTGCAACATCATGATATTGCTTGCATCACTCTGAGCCCCATGTCCACTGCTGTGGTTGCTACTGATACTAAGGTTAAAAAAAATCCAGTCAACTAAAATTATGCCAGCTGAGAGAACAGAAACCAACCTGGTGAAAGCTGAGTGAAAAAGCTACTAGTAATATGTTAGGCACACGTGCACTTCACTCAATAGCTTTGTACCTTGTTTCTCCTGGAAGGAGGCTGACTGGCATATTTTCTTGACATCCTTGTCCTGGATGCCAGTTAGATTTGCATGCTGAGCAAAACTCTATGTCACAGACTTTGCATTGCACCAACTGGGGGCTCTGAGGTCCTGATTCCTGAAGCTGACAAACAGCTTGGCAGGAAGAAGATGGGCACCAAGTCCGACAAGGATCCAAAAGCACTTCTGTTAGGGAAATAAGGCACAGTTGGGAAAAGCTGTAGTTTAACAGCAGAATTAATACATTTAATTCATTTGGAGGCTGGCGTAATAGATTAGGTATCCATAATGAGCTGAGGTGGCGCAGCAGTTAGAGTGCAGTACTGCAGGCCACTTTAGCTGACTGTGTTCAGCAGGTCAGCGGTTCAAATCTCACCGGCTCAAGGTTGACTCAGCCTTCCATCCTTCCGGGGTAGGTAAAATGAGGACCCAGATTGTGGGGGGCAATGTAAATATATATATACATTGCTTACTGGTGTACACCACTTAGAGAGTGCTTGCACTTAAAGCGGTATATAAGTCTCATAAATAAATAAATAAATAATGTGGTATCAGGCAGTTGCTTATATTCCAATGTCAAAGATGAAGACTTGGAATTGATCTTAAGTTGTGGAACACAATGAGGAATGTCCAGTGTCTGATAATGCTGCATTCTAAAGCTTTCACTATTATAGAATGTACAGGGAACAATGCAAACACTTTGTTTTCAAACACAATGGGAAAGCAAAGAAAACATGAGCCATTCTTGCCTCTGTTCTCTCCCCACAATGTTCTACAACACCCCATGCATAGTAGTTTCTTGGGAGAAGTATCTAAACTCCACAGAATTTTGTTTCCCGTTAATAAAATAATGTTACATATAGTAAAAACCCTTTCCCACACCACTCCCACAAAGGAAAAACAAACTGCTTAATCACTTTATCCCCAGGAGTTTTTGGTGAGAAGAATAATTGAAAATCTTTGTGCAACACTTCTCTCCTTGTAGCCATGAAAATATTGCTTGAACCTAGTCTGAAATCTCAACTTTTACAATACAATACCAAAGACAATATAAGGATCCCTTATATAGGTCTTATGTGCCATGACTGTGGGGTGACTTTAACATTTTTTTATCCCAAGCAATTAATTAGAGCCAACCAGATTTTGTATGGGCATGAAGTATAGGTGAGTTTGATGTAGTGGTTAAATGGTTAAGGCATACAAAAATCAGGACATTGTGATTTGTAGTTTGCCTTAGCCATTTAAGATGCCTGGATGGCTTTGGGCCAGTCATTCTCTCTCAGGGTGTTTATTGTGGAGAAAATAGGAGGTAGGAGTATTATGGATATAAATCTAATAAAAAATAAAATAAAAATCACATCAAAACACTTCCTTTATTTATAGGGCTATTCCAGAAAACACTGAACAAAGCAGAATAAAAAACTGTTGGTGTTTTTTTTTTTAAATGGAACCAAATTATTTCCATAGTTGAGGTGAAATATGGATTCTAGATTGTAGCCACATACAATACCTCTTTCAAATTGTAGTTTTTTATATCTCTGCATGATTTCCGATGCAACCATACACTCAATCTGTTGAAAGGAAAGAGTGGGGGAAAGAGAGAGCACATTTAATATAATTATATTGTAACCAAAAGGTTATCGGACAAAAAGGAACATAATTAAAAAAAATCACGATTTATAATTAGAAGTGAGCGTGACTGTAATGTAAGATAAAGATGTAGAGGGAACCTACTTCATTTTCTTGTAAATGACCTCGCTTTGGGCAAGCAGCATCAGGACAGCTAATTGCTGTTTCAAGGCCTTCCTTGATCAAAAGCTCCACATACTGTTTCAGGCACTGTGAAAAGTCAGGGAAAAGAACTATAAATGCCACACAGTGACTGGGAATTATATAGAATATTGAATACTTTTCAGATAATGAAGTCAACATAAGCCTTAGGAGTTAATTCACAGGAGTAGCATAATTACATCTGAGCCCTTTCCGTGCTATTATCTGCAAAATCCTTTGTTAATGAAGGTACAAAGTTTGCTGAGTGAATGCTCCACTCAGCAGGTAAGTCTAAGGAACCTGAATGGTTTTAGATTGGATATCATGGCCAACCCATAATTTGGAGTCAGAAATACTCATTTTTTCCTCATACCTGTATATGAGTTTCTTCTCAGTTTATTATTTTAGGTTAGGTTTCTGCAGTTTTTCGAGTGAACCAAATAGTCTTTATCTCTAAATTTATTATTGATAGAATATTAAAAGATGACACCTACTGCAAGTAACTTTATCATGAATTAGACAATGAAAAATTAATATGATTAATATTACCCCTTAATAGATAAATAAACAAATAAACCACAAAACACAGCATTTTTTTTGTTTAAAAAGCAATGTGTTTTTTTTTCCTGCTCCAAATTCTTAGAAACTTTTAAAGATGTGCTTAATAACCACTGAGCTATTTCCAGCTTCCAAGTATGCAACCCTTAAGCAATCTCTTATGGGGTCCTTGGTTAATGATGGTAATTGGGACCAGAATTTCCATCACTTAGAGATATGGTCATAAAATATGATATCCCACGACTGCATCACTTAGCATCAGCAATGCCAGCATTTTCATTGCCATTATTAAGCAAGGATTGTGGGTCACTAAACAAGTCCCAAGGAGCCTGCAAGCAGGCCAGCAGGCAGGTAATACATGACATAAGGTTTGGGGGGGGCTGTTGCTGGGCAGAGAAGGGTGTGTGGGTGGCTCAGGAGGCACAGAGCAAGTATGCTGGAGGTGGCTGTTGTCGGAAGGGGGTAAGCAAGGTACCAGGGTGACTCGTGACCTTCTCTGCTGGTTTCCCCATTGATGTTACTTCTGGGAAACCAATGTTGAAGGTCACAAATGGCCATCATATGACCACAGGAGGCTGCAACTCTCATAAATGTGATCCAGTTGTCAAGCATGCAGATTGCGATCATGTGACAGTGGGGTTGCTGGGCCAGCAAGCATCACCACATGATTTAATCAGCAGAAATTCACTCAAATTATTGGGCTGATATTGATATTGTTCTTTGATATCAGAGGGTTTTTTTATAAAAAAAAAACAATGAGAATTTAGGATAATCAAATACTGACAATTATACAAGAAATGAACGCTCCAGGCATAATAAGATTCAGCTCTCAGAAAGCAAGCTAAATCCTATCCACAAACAAACAAATTCATATATAGAAAAATCTAACCACAAAAGTATTAGGACGTGCAGTTCCTAGGCTGACTTCTTTGTCATCTTTCTAAGGCTCTAATATCAGTTTAGTGGAAGAACAACCACTTGGGTAGACATCAAAACATTTTTTAAAAAAATATATTTTTATTACATAATTTAAGCCACCTTTCTTTCAAGGAGCTCATGAAAATGTGAGATGTTATTCTCACAACAGTGTTATGAATTGGAATCTAACAATGAAACGGAATGACCCAAAGTCACTCAGTGATTTTCATGTCTGAATCCTAGACCAGCTATGGTAGCACAACGTTTTGGTTTTGCAGTTGCACCAAGCCAACTTTTTTGAAGTCTGACCTATTTTTCTTAACAAGCAGACCTTTTCCAAAGACTTTTTCCTTGCTTCCTTGCGTCCTTGCTTGCTTGCTTCCTTCCTTCCATCCATGCATCCATCCATGCATCCATCCATCCATCTTTTCTACTTCCTTTCCACTTCATTTTCCAAACCACAATTGAAACAGTTTGCTTTGGGGTCCACATTGATGCAGTTTTCCTCTACTTGTCTTTGCTTGAAGAAGAGTTGCATGCAAATCAGATGATTCCTCCTACTAGCAGAACTGGTCCAACAGCAAAATTTGGTCCATTGGGTTATCATCTAGTTATTAGCTGCTCAGTACTTCAAAGGAAACCATAAAGGTCACCAGAGACAGCATGATCTTACACGATATATGTTCCTTGCAGGCAGTATAATACCAAATATACTGTTCCTGCAGCTCATAAATGTCACTTGTTTCTTTACTCTCCCTCTGAATAAAAAAGATAAAATAAAAAATTTGGAGAAAGAAGCAGTTTTTACCCTCCGATTGCATGCTAGAAAAGAAAACATGGTGCAGAATCACATGTTGAGTGAGGGTAATGACTAATTTAAGAAGAACTTTATGGCATCTTAACAGCTGGAGTTGCTCCAGATGCATTTCACAAGCTGAATTTTGAAGAAATTGCTTGTTACATTTATGAATTAAATCAAAATACAAAATATGCTTCCATTCTGTGAAATTTGTGGATCATCTTTTTTTAAGAGCTGCACTTAGTAAAATATTAGTTTGCAAACTTTCAATGAATCCCCATCTCCTCATTTGGGTCACTGGAACCCCCATATTTGCACCGTACATTTGCTATTCCCCTACATCTGCTTTAGGAAATGTACTTGCACATCCCCTGGACATCCATAATGTCTTCTTCTGACTGGGAATGGCTGTCTTGTCCAAAGAATGTGCAGTTCATTGCTTAGGAGCCAGACAGGAACTAATGAAAACTAATTCACAGAGTATGACACCAGTGTAATTATTATGCCTAGACCAGTGGTGGCGAACCTATGGCACGGGTGCCAGAGGCAACACTCAGAGCAGTCTCTATGGGCACGTGCGCTGTCACCCCAGTCCTAGGCCTTCAGCTGGGTTTTATAAAACCTTTTCGCTTTAGGCCTCCGCTGCCGTGTACAAAAAAAAAAAAAAAAAAAAACAAGGTTCAATCAATCAGTCAATTTCAACTTCTTACGGGGAAAAAAAAAGATCTTGCAAATTTGGAATTGATTGATTGAACTTTTTAGTCCCACCCAGTCTGCCGTTACCACTGCAGCCACCCCCCCCAATGGGCCACAGCCTCCAATTGGCCACACCCAGCCAATGGGCCATACCCACCCGGCACCCAATGATGCATAAGTGGGTTTTGGGTTGCAGTTTGGGCACTCGGTCTCTAAAAGGTTTGCCATCACTGACCTAGATAGTCAAAGTTTCCTGTTTATAGTGTAACATCCGGAGACATTCATTCATAAAAGTTATGAATGTTGAAATACTTCTGACCAAACAATGTATTGCCTGAGGATATTCTTTTGTGATTAAATACTATAGTACACGAGTTCTCATAACAAAACATATTATTTGTTCATTCAAGAGCAGTAATAAAACAGTAATCTTAAAACAGTGTGTGTGTGTGTTTGTGTATACATACGGTAAATATATTTGCTGCAAAAATTGTCAATTGGAAGGTTCATATGTAAATTGTATGCATAACAGTGTGAATCAAGAACAAAACTGGTAGCTGCCATCCTGGTCAAGAGGTCAAAGAATGGATTAGAAGTACATGTTTTATATCGCTTGTAAGCATGAATGTCCAAGTCATAAATCCAAAGAAGGTGGAAATAAAGTTGAAACTGATAAAGTTAGCAGGAACTCTTAATCCATCTTCTTTCTTTTCTCTATACCAGAATAGTGCAGCTCAACACAGTCAGAAAACTTCAAAATCCTACCTAACCCCATAGCACACAGTCACTGTTTCATTCATGCAACCTCAGTGCTATGCTAATCATGGTACCGGCTGGCCAGAAGAAATTTCTTGCAAGCGTCACCCCATGATCTAATACAGTGGTGTAATCTATAAGGGATGGATGGCAGAAGAATTTTTCTCTTCTCTCAAGAGCTCTACTTGAACTCTACTTCTCACAAGAGCTCTACTTGGGTCAGCTGATCAGATTTATTGTCTGCTTAACTGAATGGCCCCGGATGCGGACGGACATAGAAGCATATGTCAAGAGCTGCCCAGTGTGCGCTACCTCAAAACCCCACATAGGAAAGCCTCCAGGACTGCTGCAAACGGTAGCTGACCCAACCAGACTATCAGTCTTTCGTTCCTGCTTGTTGGCTTGTTTTTCGGAGCACCAAAAAGGACGACATTGACAAGCGTTTTCTGGGTCGAAATGCACTTGCTAAAAGTAAAACAATTGACAGCTTCCAAGAAACAACTTGGATGTACATAGTGAAATGAATGATTGAGAAACTAGATGGAGTATGGACCAGTCTTTGGGACTGTTGCTGCTAATGTTGCTGAAGATATTAAGAAAATATGGTTCTCAACTTTTAAGATGTACTTGAAGAACTCACTTAAGAATGTCTGAACCTGATACAGGCATTTATTCTTATGATTTTAGGTAAGAGTGAAAGATAAACTATCCATGTTGGCCCCATTCTACCATCACGACCTTTTAGCTCTGTTCTTGTCAACTGCCAGCTTTAATCCAAAACAATGTGGCTTGCACAATAGGCATAGCAGCTCTAGAGCAAATGTGCACCATCTGTGACACTAACTTGGATCCCTAAACCTCTAAAAATATAACCACCAAATTGTAGCTGCACTTTGAAAGAAAGGAAAAATAAATACAGTGTATTTTATCAAATTGCAAGTTTTTCGTTCATTTCAGTGAATTAATTGTAATTTAACATTCAATCCAGTTTAGGATTCTTGCTGTGGTTTCAACCCTGTTCACTTTTTGAAAACACCATGCACATACACCCTGCCAATCCCCTGAATGCATTCCACTATAAAGCCAAATCATCTCTTGGACTGGAAAAGGTTGCTTTCCCTTGCTCTGGGTTTTAAATCAGAATCAGCCTGGAGCAGGCCGAGAGATAAATCATAAGGGAAAACCTAGGAGCCAAGAACAGTCTGTGCTCTGCCGACAATCCACCCCCTTCCCCCATTCACATTCATGATCATTAGGGAATACACAGAAAGCGAAGATTTGTATTTTAATTGTTTAGGAGTACACTAATTGATCAAACGTGTTTGATAATTATTGCCCTCTGAAAAGATTGCTTCCTGCAAATGCTCATGAATTTTAATCCCTAATCTCAAAGTGATTCATGTCCTCTAAAGCAGGATCTGAATCTGGCAGAAAACAACAAAAATGACCCACTATATTGTTCCAGAATAAAGTTAACCACAATCTACTTCCTGTCCCAAAATGACACTATTGTGCTAATGTGTATTCTTTAAGGGCTTTTTTATAACGGCTTTCCAAGTATCGCTAAGGGAGTGAAATTTTTATATTTGTCTGCCTTCCCAAAGTAAAGCAGTCTTGAAAGCCTCACACACACTAAAGTTCTCATTCTATGGGCTTAGAAAGATGACTCTGCATTGAGTAACTCTCATATATGCACACATGCACTTCTATACAAAGTTAGTAGGAAAAAAATCCTAATATTATCTCAATTTTAATTTTTTTCCAGGACAGATGTTTCTGCATCACTGTGTCAAAGTGGAATCAACTTCCATAATCCTACTTTAGTGGTCATTATTACCAGTATATCTGTTACTTTAACACACACACTCTTATGGAGGAGGTAGGAGAGAAAGATTGGGATGCTTTAGGAGTTTATTTCAGATTAGAATAATCCATAAAGGGGATTTATTTACAATTCCCTCCCCATCTTATGGCTAGAAGTATGCTTTGCACTAAATTAAGGCAACCCAGCATTAAAATCAGCAATTTGAGCTGACAGCAGATGGTAGATAGAAAAAAGAAAACAGGACAACCAGTTTGTAATTGAGTTTTTGTTGTCTGGTGACAAGAGCATACAATATGTCTGGCCACATATGGTCACCCTAGAGTAATTTTCTTATAGGACCATTTAAGATTCTTGTAACAATAAATGCAAATGAGATCCTATGCAATTTGTCAAACTTGGCACCATGATGTTCCCCCTGTGCTTAAATTGTACTAAACACATAAACAGATTGATTATCGTTGCAGCTGTCTAAAGCCAAAAGACAGGAATAGTCAGGATAAAATATGCCTAGCATAATTTTTCTTTTCATTGCTAATATTTGGAAAATACTTCAAAATAATTGGGGAGATGGTGGAGGGCGATTGACTGATTCAATGCAAATCCTGCATGGTTTGTCTAGGCAACACCCGAATGCTTTCCTGCCTTCTGTTACTGAGTCTGCCAAAAAAGAAAAGGTCATTTGACTATGCCAGGGGCAATGGCAGACCTGAACCTAGGTAGAAGCTGCAAAGGGAATAGCATCCCATAACTACCCTTGAATGTTAAGCTGCCATTTGTTTTATCTAAGTATTTCTGGGAGGAAAAAAAATACTGCCTGCCTAGCTCAGTGCAGTGTTTCTCGACCGCAGCAGCTTTAAGGGGCATGGAGAATTCTGGGAGTTGAAGTCCACGCCTCTTAAAGTTGTCAAGTTGGTGAGTGGATCCCTTGTCAGATGAGGGCAAAGATTGTGTGTTTGAAACCAATTAATTACTTCCCCTATAAATAATACTGAAGCAATCTTTTTTTAATTGGATGGATGGAGTTCAACACCCACATTTTTTTTCCACCGCTGTTGCTCTTAATACATTTATGTGTTTAATCCAGACGGATTTTCTGTTCTCTGGCATGTCATTCTTTGAAACCCAGATGTCAGAGCTCCAGGCAGTTGTTTAACAGATTGTCTTTTGCTTCTCTGCCTAAGAAGAACATGTAATTTGCTTTATCTTCTTTTTTCTTTCACATGTATGGGCATATTTAACTAAGACTGGCATGCAGGTTAACTAATACTGCTCCCAAATCAGTGAATAAATAATATTCAAATAATAACAGACTTTCAAAATGCAGGTCTTAGACTCAGGTTCATATAAAAATCTGGAATGGATACATATTGTCATCCTTGTCCTGTCCTGTCCTGTTCCTATCCATCTCATCACCTTGCTTGAAAAAACCTCAAGAAGTAAATATGGGAATATGAGGTTGTATTTTCCCAACTTTCCTGTGAGATAATTGACAGAGAAAGGGCTTATGTCTCACAATATAGTTGAACAGGGAACTAAATTTTTCCATTCAACATTGCTTTTTATAACTTTAAATTTTTATACCACTAATCTTCTAAAGAACTGTGATGTTACATTGCCTCCCCGCCCCAGTAACTCTATGAAGTTTATTATGCTAAGAGGTCAAGGCTGGGTGACTCAAGTTCACTCAGTAAAATTTTTCGTGAATTTGGAGGAACTGATTCAAGTCTCTTATAATTCCAAGCAGAGAAAGAAAATCTTTCTGTGGCTTTTTTCCTTGACCTGGAGAAAAAAAATTTCATCTTCAAAAGTTAGCCAACTAGAAACTTGCGCAATAAAATGGAGGACATTGGGACTTTGCACGTTTTAACTCCATCCGACTAGTTAGAGGGCAGTCTACTGTCTACAGTCCAGCCTTTAAGTCCTAGCTGGGCTCTACCGGAAGTCAGACAGACACCTAAAGCTTGCAAAGATCCAGCATCATCCATTTTGTTAGTAGGCTAACTTTTGAAGATTTTGGGGGGGGGGTTCTCTCCAGTTCGAGGGAAAAAGCTGCAGAAAGATTTTCTCTCCTTGCTTGCTTGGTTCCTCTCCCTTCAGCCTGGAGTCAAAGTAAGGTTTTTAAAAGGGGTAGAGATTAGAGAGCAGAGGGGGAGAGTTTAGTTTTAGCACCTAATTGGGGTGGGGTAGAGGGAATCAATAAGTCTGTCCCTCCCAGCTTTTTTTAAAAAAATTGTTTATTGAGCAAATGTGGCTTTCTGTGTGAGAGAGGGAGGAGGATAAGCAAGGAAAAGGTTTTCGGAAGCTGGTCCTGAAGCTGTCACTCACTTTATATGCGGGGGCTGGCAGAAGAGCTTTGCAGCCTCCCAATGGCCAGATGGTTGGTGCAGAAAGCTCTGAAAGGCTTTGCCCCAGAAAAGTGGGGGTCCCTTGGCAGGAGGAAGGGCAGGGGCAGAATCAGGAAAAGCAGGTGTGCTGTTTTGCCAGTGACAAACATGTCATAGGCAAGACAGTCATCTTGCATGCGGTAGCTGGCATGTAAGGCACCCAAGGGATAGGAAGTGGAGCATGGGATCTCTCAGGGTGAGAGAGGCCTCAGGAGGCCTGAAGCAGGTGGGCTTGTGCCTGCACTGGGCCTCCCAGGATCTCGCCACCCCTGAACTCCACTTAATAATGACCCATGCATTCATTTAACAAATGCACTGGAAAGATCAGGGATGGCTGGTTATTACTTGAGGCAGTTCATTTAATGTTGTCCCAAATTCCAACTGTAGTCGTAACTCGAGGACTACCTGTACGTAGCTCATGGTTGAACTGTGGAGTCCTTGGTGCTCTTTGAGCTTGGTCTGCAAACAAACAACCAAGCTCAGAAAGCACGAAAGACTACGCAATGATTAACAATATCGCACAGGAACGTCTAACCTGGTGAACAGCCAGGTCTTAAGGGACTTCTGAAAGGTTATCATGGATGAGGCCAATCTAATCCTGGAAGGGAATGGTGTTCCAAAGGGCAGGTGCAGTGACAGAAAAGGTTTAAGGCCTTGTGTGAGACAGATATTTCTTGACATAACACTGAAAATTCTGTGATATTACAACTGATATTCTTCTAGATTTAGAAGAGCCAGCCTACAACTAAACATTGGTATCTGATCCAGGAAGCTTTCAGTATTAGCCTTAGAAGAATGATGTATTTCCCGGAGGCAGATAATATCAAGCTTTTCTTATTTATAGTTAAGTAATCATTTTTTATTGTTTAACTGATTCTCTAAACGTTAAAATTAAATGGTAGACTTTCTCAAATTAGCGTAAGAGATGTATAATTTAATGGCATCTACCTTAATTGATATTTTGTTCTTTTTATCCAATGTACTTTTCAAAATGTACTTTGACAGATAATATTTCTACCATAATGTCTTTTAAGAGACGAAAAGAAAAACATCTTAGACAAAAATAAAATCCATTAAGAGACAAAGCCCTTCACAGAGAGGACTCTGTGGGATCATATTTTCCAGATTTCATCTCCTTAGGTTGTATAACTAAAGAAAACATTTGTGCTGACTTTGGTGTGAAATAAAAGGAAATAGAGGAATTAAGCTTACAGTACATTTAGTGCAACTATAAATTTAAAATATACCTCTCAAACAATGCCCAAAAGAGGAAAACATGGCCCCAAAATTGCCTCCCACCCTTCTCTGACTTCTTGATTTTATTACATGACCTGCTTTGATCCCCAGGAGCTTAAAAAATAAAGCAGAAATAACAATTAAATACGTTCTCTTCCTCAACTGTAAAAAATCACCCTTCCTTGTTCTAACCATTACCATTTTTTAAAAGCCAAGGAGTGTGATTGTGCGAACTGCTTAAGTAATGCTACCAAAGAGCTTGAAACATTTTCTAGGACAAATATTTTTATTTAAACCCTATCTTTCCAGTGTAGACTTATTAAATAAACCTGACCAACGACAAAGTCCTTTGAGTCCTACCTAAATAGACAGAATCCTCATTCTCTTTCCTCATTTGTTTGACTAGAGATGAACAAAAGTGTATACAGGAAACATAGCCTATATACAAGACAATATAGTATTTCTGCTATTTGTCTAAAAATGTATACTTGTGTATGTGATCATAAATGCTGCTCCCTCAACTACAGTACTAGTCTTGCCCACAGATGCACAAACATGACCCTTGTTGACTTTGATGGTAGTTTAGATGAATGCGAACATAGAATTCTTTGACGTTCACTAACCAGTGTACAGAAGATGCATTGGCATTGTGCTATTGTTGTCATCTGCTCCACAGGATACTCCCCAAGGCAGAGTTTACACAACACAAGAGGATCAAGCACCAAGTCCCAAGTAGGTCTGTATCTGGCTGTAGTCATTGCAGAATAATCTGAAAAGGAAAGGGAACAGTGAATCAGTTTTAAACAAGTCTGGCAAAATTTCACATTTCCTTTATTCTGAATATAGTAAAAAGTTGTCCAAACAATTTTTCAAGCAGAAGTGAGCAGCATAAAGGTTGTAGATAGCTCTGTCAACTTCCTTTTATTTGTCAATCTGAGTTTCCTGATTTTGTACTGCCAAAATAATAACCATTTTTTTTAAAAAAGACAAAATATACTTTGATAAATTCAACTCACATATTTTATTATTTCCCATCGTTCTCAAAATTTAATTGTTGCTGTTGATGTCAGTCTGTGGGCTTTGGCCTGGGCATGTCCTAGAGCAGGGGTCTTCAAACTTGGCCCTTTTATGTCTTTGGACTTCAACTCCCAGGAGGAATTCTGGGAGTTGAAGTCCACAAGTCATAAAAGGGCCAAGTCTGAAGACCCCTATCCTAGAGGATAACTAACTTTATTCAACACTGGGAAAACTACATCAAATGAATAAATTGCACTAAGTATATCCATTCACAAATGAATGGATTAAGTCAAGGGAAAGCCTATTCATTGCTTACTCTGAATGTCAGTTTGGTACCCTGGTTGTACATATGAAATGTTTTAACCAGAATATTCATCATATCCTTCACAACATCAAGAAGCCCATCAATAATCCTGTTTTAAATAATATTTTGGATGTAAACATTCAGAGAAGCTCTAATGCTAGACTGAGTGTTATTTTCCCAATAATTGCCCCAAGATGCTTCTGTAGAAGTGTCCCCTCCCACTCCATGTGATTTTGCAGCTGGTAAGAGTTTTGAATTGTCTACAGTGCATGCTGATCTTCTCTGCTTTGATGAACTTGTTCTTTAGCTATGTAACAATTGGAATCAGAGACTAGAAGAAGGCAGAAAAAGTATATGAGTACCTGATTGCTGCTGCTCTTATCCCAGAGTGTCCTAAAGACAATTTAGCTATCCTATAAACATAAATGGCTTGGGTTTATTTAAATGTCCAAAACATGCATGCGCCTTAATACTAGCAAAATAATATACAATCATGCTTAATAATATACAAAGAACAAGTCAGTGTTGATTCCTGGCAACTGCTTCCATTTGTCCCTGAAGTTTTTTTGTTAAGGTTTTTGGAAGTGTTTTACCACTGCTTACTTTCTCAGAGAGAAGGTAAGGCCCAAGACCATCCAGATGGTTTTGTACCTAAACAGGACTAGCCCTGATTTCTAGCCAGTTGCCTTAACCTCTACACCATATTGACTGTATAAGCAAATTTAAGAACAATGTGATTTTATTACCTGTCAATGTAAAAGAAGTGAAGTTACAATTTAATTCTCCCTCTCACCCCCTTTGGATATTATTTTAGCTGATATATGCCTTTTTTCCATATCACTACAGTACTAATTGTAAGCAGAAGCCTTTAAGCATTACACAATTGTGATTCCACCACTTGTTGAGGAAACAAGAACTATTATTGAATTCTTGGCCATCTAGAAGTATGGTGCTTGTTTTTCATTACAATTGGCAGCAACTAGATAGAAAACAAGAAAGGAAGGGGGGGGGAGTTCAAGCAATCTTATTTTCGGTGGATGTTGTGGCTCATTTCTTCTTGAATTTTGTTCCAAAGAAAAAAAGGAAATAAAAAGTCATTGAACATATACTAGCTTCAACTTGAAATCCACTGTCATTATGTGAAGTTCTACAAAAGTGTGTTGCATTTATACAGGAAGGAGGAGAGGGGGGGGAGAGAGAGGAAGAGGGAGAAAGAATAATTATATGTATATTAAACCACAAGCTCTTAGTTTTCTCCTTCTCCTCCTCCATAGTTGTAGGGTTAGGATAATCTGAGTTGGAGTCAAGGAAACACTAAAAAATGACAGCAACAGGTGTAGCAAACGTAGCCATGGTGGAACTAAAGCAAACTTGGTGCTTGGGGTATTTTGCACATCTATTTGACTTCTAGTCATTCCTGACCTTATCCCTTTCTGTTTTATCACATTTCTTAAGTAATCCATTCCTACTGCACTTCAGTTTATTTGTATATGGTAGTCTTTTGCTTCTTTTTCAACTATCATTCATTCTAGGAATAGACCATGTTCTATCTACAACCTTTCTTCCAAAATCTGAAGATATTACAATTTTCCTATTTCCTCTTATAGAGAGATTATATGTTTTCTAACAGATCCTCATTTTTTTTTCAACATTATGAAACCCCACATGTAAAACACATTTCGGCATTACAAGATCATATTGGAAATTGCAAATGTGAGAAAAGTGTCTCGTCCCTTTCTATTCAAATAATTACCCTACATCAGAGGGTGAGTTATTGTAGTATTACCCAGTATGGTATGCTTATTAATACTGAACTAGATATAGCAAAACTCAAATCGATTTCCCATTGAATCACTGAGATTAGTGGGCAACTTTCCACTTGACAAAACACTGAAATGTGGGACGGATCACCAACTAACAAGTCTTATATCATGGAAATATGATATAAAACCTAAAGGTCTGCTAGGCCAACCCCTGCCAGGGCAAAAAACCTCAGATGATCCTAGATAAATTTTCTTTGTATAAAAGCCTCCTGTGGTGAAGCACCCATGGCTTCAAGTGGCAGATTGTTCCACTGCTTAATAGTTATCACAATCAGGAAATTCCTTATTTCGAGTTTGGATCTCTCTCGGTTAAGCTTGTATCCATTGATATTTGCTCTACCCTTGAGCACTACAGAGAATAAATCCACACCCGTTTCTCTATGACAGGGGTCCCCAACTCCTGGTCTAGTACCAGCCCGCAGCATGCCAGCAACCAGCCGCACAAACAAGTGAAGCAGACAGCAGTGAAGCAGACAGCACACAAAACCAGGCCTCCTCTGCTGCATGAAAAAACCTTTCTCCACAGAACTGGTCCCTGGTGCCCGAAAGGTTGAGGGCTGCTGCCCTATGACACCCCTCAAGCATCAGAAGATTGCTATTATGCCTCCCCTTAGTCTTCTCTTCTTCAGGCTAAGTATGATTGTACCTGTAAATGATCTTCATAGGATTTAACCTCCAAGCCCCTTATATCTTAAAGGAGAAAATGGCTATTTTATTCCTATGTAATTTTACAACTTCTGGAATGCCACTGTATTTTCTACTTCACTACTATCGCAGCTAAGCATCAAATGCACACAGGTCCCTGAAGAAAGGAGATCTGATGTTAGTTGGTAAGAAAAAAAATTGGTTCATGTAATGCAGCTAACAAACAAATCCACATACCTGCCAATAGCCAATAGAACACACAGTATTTTCAAATCTAGGGTTGTGTTATTTCCTATTTAAAGTACTACAGCCTTAACTTTGTGCATTGCCATGTAACTGTTAAGGGCAGAGATTTTTTAATTAGGGAAAAGAATGCTTGCCTTTCCCTTTTTCTATTGTCAAAGAAGGTCCACAGGAAATAACAAAACAAAAATTAATCTAAGTCTTTCTCATATTTTCAAGACATTGGAGAAAGCAAGAAACACAGTGTGGGCTTGTACTTGGAATTTTAAAATTATTTAAGAGCTGCTTCATTTCTTTTTCTTGCTTGTCCACTCAAATCAGTCCTCTAGGTCTGAGGATCACTCCTTTTTTTGTAAGCAGACATTAATCTACTCTGCTATTATTCTGGGCCTTTTGAACAGCTAGCAGTCCCTGGCTGCAAATCCGAAGATGACTACTAAACTAAATGTTGCAGGTATGCTAATCTAAAAACTGTTTTTTGTTGTTAATTATGAGTAGAGAATCCTGCAAAGGATGATCAAGAAAACATCACAAGTAGTTCCAAGGAAAAAACAGATACGGTAACAAGACAGTTAAGCCTTTATTTAAGACACTCCAACCTCTTTCCTACTGCAAGATATCCCCTCCCAGAGAAGTTTTGCAAAAGAGAAACAGCATTTGAGCTAACTTTACACATGGTTGTCATTTTTTTAGCTAATGTGAGCCATCCCAGAGATAGTAGCTTTTTAAAAAAGGAGATAGAAACATAGAAATGTGATACATAAATAAATGTTCCAATAACCCCAAAACCCAACACAGAACTGCATTAGAAATTAAATGTTAAAGTAAATTATCATTAGATTAGTACTGCCGTACACAAGGAGTGATTCAATAACATTTCTGATGCAAATTTGTGATAGAGTTTTAGAGCTTTAGAATATAAATATTGTACTCTTTGTCTCTAGAATTGAACAACTGGTTCCTTATTTGTGAATAGTTCAACCAAATCCGCTTGCTGGTTATTACGCATGAACAACTAATGTACAAATTCTGCTTGTTTATTTTTTCAGTGGTTGAATAAGAAAATATTGTTCCAGAGAGAAAATAGATTTCAGTAAGCATGGTATATACATATAAATTCAAGATTCAAAGTAGTTATCTATGGTTGTATTAATCAGATTAAATAAATGAATTAAAAATTAGAAAACATTGAGCCATAATCTATAAAACTTATATAGGGGAATTAAAAACAGGAAAGTAGATGGCCTTTAATAAACATATCCTCAATGACAGTGTTTTTACCTGCATCCCAGACTTTTATCTACTGGAATATTGTGACTGTAATTCTATGCCTAATTAATTGGGAATTTATTTTATTTATTTATTTATTTTATGAGACTTATATACCGCTTTAAATGCAAGCACTCTCTAAGCGGTGTACACCAGTAAGCAATGTATATATATATTTACATTGCCCCCAACAATTTTTTAGTGAAATGTCAAGTCCCTGCCAATTAGGGGCATCCATAATGGTAGTCAGACAACAACATGGGGAGCCCTAAGTAGGAAATGATGTCTCATCCCCTTTTAATATGCATTGCACATATCACAGATACATAAAAAGAGGCAAACCTTCCATCTTCTGTTGGTGCCATTTTGATGCTGTTGACCATTACTAATGTGGGTGGGATGGATAGATAGATAGATAGATAGATAGATAGATAGATAGATAGATAGATAGATAGATAACACTGACAT